GTGACGCTAACCCCCCCCCCAACACGGACACACACAGCACCCCCAACCGAAAGCATCTTCCCGCGCCCGTTTTCCACCAAATTTGAGCAAATAAAATGCAGAAATTGCACTGTGGTGACCAATGCACTGGTATATATGCATTGTCTAATTGGAGTCTCCCAATTTTCACAAATGACTGGTTTAATTATCTTACAAATTTGAGGGGAAAAAAGCCAAATACCAAATGCAAGTTTTTAAGCCTAAAGTGTTAAACCATATTTTAAACCATGTCCATTTGTCAACTACCCACATACATACACACACACACACACAATAAATTTACCTTCCTGGCCATAAGAGGCTGTGGAAGCATTGAGGACATCAGCTAAGAAAAAGGAGGGAAAAAAAGAGGGAAGGGAATGAAAGAAAGGAGGGGGAGTGGAAAAAGGTCAGCATGCTACAGAGTGAAGGTGTCACCGTGAGAACAGTAAAAGACCCTGAGAGAGTTAGTGAACAGAACAAAAAATTCCACTATTCCAATAATTGCTGTCCATTCGAGTTGAAATAAAGGACACCCCAGCTTGAGTAATGCAAAGTATGCTTACCATCAGATAATGACTCATAATCATAATCATACTCTTCTTCCTCCTCTTCTTCTTCATCATTGTTTCCCAAGGATGTTCCACTGACTGTGCCGTTGTTGGCCTGGGCCTGCATGTGAGCCAGCTGATGTGCCTTTTGAAAAAGGAAAAGTTCACAAAAAAAGTTCCAAAACTTTTCAACTATTCATTCTTGATTTGTTAAATGGAAGCTTCATGGACTCAATCAAAGTTGTTGATACTAAAAATGTTTAACAGTTAGTCAAGACCACATTAAAGCTCTGCAGATTTCCACAGAATTGGAAAGTCTGTCATTCACACAATTCCACACATTCCCTACCCTTTGCATGTTTGTTTATTAAATATTTTGGTTAATTTGATTGTGCTTTCCAATATGAGTGTAGTACTTCCAGCTCAGTTAAGGACATTTTAAAATGTTTAAACGCATTCATGCAATCAGTGCAGATCAGTCAAGTCAATTTTATTTGTATAGCGCTTTTCACAGTATACAAAGCAGTTTCACAAAAGCTCATACTGTTGTCTATAATGCTTTAACAAATTTAGGGCTGGTTGATATGGCGAGATATATATATATATATATATATATATATAAAACAATGGTATAAATTATCTCTACATTTAGAATTAGCTATATTATATTTATTTTGTGTAGCAGATATTGGTGTCTCAGGCACACAGGCCTTACCTTAGGTGTACGAAGATAAAAATTATGAAAAAAATCCCCAGATTAAAACAGGACCTAGTCAAGACATTTAAACAAAAAAAGAGGCAAAAACAAAAAAAGAGCTAGCCAAATTTGCCTGATTATGTGGCTGCTACAATTCGATAAACTGTGCACAAACCAGTCTTGAAAATCAAGAACCGATTTCAATAGTCTTGAAATCGGTTTTGTATTGTCCCCATACATCTAGGTATTTTTTCCTCTCATCTACCTTTTGTTTGAGAATGTCCACTGGAGCCTGGTGAGCTTTCAGCTTCTTATTTTTCAGTAGGATCTTCCCTCGGAGCTGCAGGGGAGACGGAAGCAAAGGCTCATCTGCAAAATCACTCTCAAACAGGAACTTGGTCACCAGCTTCTCACCACACACTGTCTGAAGAGCAAAATAAACAATGTTTACTTTCCACAAGAAACGGCCAAACAAGAAGGTTGAACTGGGTTCCATTTAATTCATCTGATGGATTCAAAGTATTCTGATTTAGTGTAAAAATTCAAGTACCTTAAAAATCTCAGCCATTTTGCGTTGCTGTGGTAAAGAGCAGTGGTTTTCGATTGACAGAATCACAGGCATCTCTGAGTTCACAAACGCTGAACGATTGATGGCCTCGACAACATCCTACAGGCCACAAGAGCATTTACGTCAATGGAAAACATACATAAAATCAACAGAAGTCTATTCATGTACTGATTTTTAACAGACCTTGAAGGGAATCTTAGTAGTAAGAGTGTGTCCATGGTAAATAACAGGCATGCCGTCGTCCCCGTCCCAGCAGTCCAACTCAACGCTACGACAGCCCTGCAGCAACACCTGCGGCAGAACCAATAAATCAAACATGAACTCAATAAACACCTGCAGGCATCATTCACGTGCTATGGTTTCAGCTACATTCTCTTGCAGGTGACTTCTACAGGACGGCATGTGAAGCAGCGATCGTCAAGCATATTTATGGAGTGCATTGTGAAATGTGTTTTGCCCTGGATCAGGTTCAGGATAAAGAGAGAAGCTCTGCTGAAGATGTACCTGGCTGTAGAGCTCCACTGAAGACTCTCCTTTCAGCTGATGGCCCGTGAGGTACGTATTATGAGAGGACTCGATGTAATAGTACGAGAGCGGATACTGGAGCTCATCCAGATTCACTTGAGACTCCTCGTTTTTAGAGGCAAAGTTGTCCTTGTCCATTAGAAACCTTCGAGAGGTAGATTAACTTTCGGTCATGTAGCAGAGATTATATGAATACTGCAGATTATCCAAATCTGCCAAAATATTGTGTTTCCGAAACTGCTGGTCCACATTATTTTGTCGAAAAAGTTTAATAAAACCAAACCTGGCAAATCCTTCAAAGGACATCCACCCCATCTGACGCATGTTTGAAGAAGGCTCAAATTTCTAAACAAACAAAAAACAAATTAAATATTATTACATTGGCATGCATATCATTAGATGTCTCAAAGTGATTTATGAGCTGGTGAGACGTTAATATTGAACTGTCAGTCAACGACTCATTCTTAATAAAGGAAGAATCAATTGTGCATGTTGTTAACGGTAAATAATGACCCACCGTTGAGATCTTTAAAACCGTGCCAAACCCTTGACAGCACTCTGACAGAAATGTAAGCAATTTTCTTTTCTGACAATAACATGAGGAGGAATGTTGGTCAAAACAAAGTTTGAATGTTGGCTTGAAAATGTCTTTTCAAGGTTTAAAACAACTTCAACAAGGTTAGACAGACAAGACCGATAGATTAATGGTGCCAAATTTAGTGGATATATTTTTGAAAGGACAGAAAAATTATTTATGTTTTTCCTGTAGTCTTCTGTAATATTTTTTTAAAGGGGTCATATGATGTTGCTAAAAAGAATATTATTTTGTGTATTTGGTGTAATGAAATGTGTTTATGTGGTTTAAGGTTCAAAAAACATATTTTCCACATACTGTACATTATTGTTTCTCCTCTATGCCCCGCCTTTCTGAAAAGCATCAATTTTTTACAAAGCTCATCGGTCTCATCGGATTGGCCAGCTATCCAGTGCGTTGTGATTGGCCGAATACCTCAAGCGTGTGACGGAAATGTTATGCATCTACCATACTGTGATGCCCTGTCCGGCCGGAGCGATGAGACAAAAACATTAAATATCTATTCACAAACAGCTTGTAACACTCCAAAGAGAAAGGAAAACTTGAAATCGCATCATATGACCCCTTTCAAATTCTGATGTAAAGCAGCTCTAAAAAGACAATAGTGGTATTATTATTCTGCTCAAGTCAGTTCTGTTCATTCAGTTCAGTTCAATAACGGTGTCAATGTTGCAAAATTCTTCATTTATCAAACAAATTAGGTTCAACCGTAAAGCAGCTTTACAGAAGCACAGTGTCATTATCCAAAGATGAGTCTGTAAATTACAACACAAGCATATTAATGTGCTTCATAACAGGAATAACCTTTGTCATATTCAAAGTAACCTTTATAGGTGTGATCAGTAAAGTCTATAAAACTTTCTGGCCGAGATCAGCTTTCAGAGAGTTCTTCCACACACCTGTATGATGCTGAGGATCTCATCATAGCTCAGATGTTCTCCCTGACAGTTGACCAGGAAGTCATTGAGTTGAGAGATGGCCAGTCCCAGCACACCCAGCGATGAATTCTCCACTCCAGTGCCATTGGTTACGATGCTAGCAGCTGCGATGGCGTCTGAAATCTGCTTCTGGTTATCAGACATTTGCTGACGTGTGCGGATAAAAAGGCCCAGGTCAGAGCCGTTGCGAGTCAGGAGATCTGTGGAGAGATCAGCTTTGTAAAACCATCCTACTTCTTATCATCTACACTGGTTAAAAAAAATAAAAAATCACTCTTATTATTCACACATGCCCACCAAGATCCGGTTGCAGTCCTGTTAGTTTGTCATCAATCCTCAGTGTGGTGTAGAGTGGGATAGAGTCAGGACCTGAGCGACTACAAGGCACAGCGTAGGTGTCAAAGAGTTCCTTCAGATCCTTACGACTGCGAATGCTGGACACATAGCAGACAAACGGGAAACTTTCAACAGTCACCAAATTCAAAACACACACGGAGTATTTTTTTGGAGGGAAAGGTGTGTTCTACCTAAAAGACTTGAAGAGCTCTACAAATTCAACAAAGCTCATGATGCTGTCGGAGATCATGAGGTCCTGGAAGCCCCTAAAGCAGCCTTTCCCTCGACCATGCCAGCTCCGACTGCTCCAGGCCCTAAAAACACCAAACATAGTCAGCTCTGAAGCAAAACTGCTTTTACTACATGCTTCAAGACAAGTAATACAATGTATTCTTCACTATGCAAGAAGCCATCGAGATTTGTTTTTGCACCTCACACAAGCATGCTTGAGCTTAACCATTAACTATGTTTGATATGCATTGAATAAACACCTGAATCAAAGTCTGTTCATCATATACAGCAATTGAATTAAACAGCATAATTCATATGGATTACTTTTACAATGTCTTTAGATACTTTTTGAAGCATAAAAATGTTGACTGCATAGAGTTTCAATGGATGGAAAATGACGAGAGAATATTAAAGTGTCCCTATTACGCTATTTGGAATATTGCCTTTCTTGCAGTGTGTAATGTAGCTGTACGTGAATGTAAACAATCTGCAAAGTTGTAAAGCCGAAGGTGCACAATAAATAAAGTTATTATCTCCCAAATGAAAGAACCGACTCTGAACAGCCTAAACGAGTCGTAATGGATGGAAAATGACGAGAGAATATTAAAGTGTCCCTATTACGCTATTTGGAATATTGCCTTTCTTGCAGTGTGTAATGTAGCTGTACGTGAATGTAAACAATCTGCAAAGTTGTAAAGCCGAAGGTGCACAATAAATAAAGTTATCTCCCAAAAGAAAGAACCGACTCTGAACAGCCTAAACGAGTCGTCAGTAATTCAAAATCCCACTTCTGTGACGGCTACATGTCACGGGGTAAAACATTTGCATAATGCCCGCCTATGTTCTACGTTGGCCGGCCACCAACAACTTGACTCGCCTCTAAAAAAACTGTAGCTTATTCACGTGGTTAATGTCATGTTAAGAAGACACTGTGAAAGTAAAAAAGATGAGGCTGCAAAGAATCAATACAACCCCAATCCTTTTTTGTGTTCCCGTCATTTTACTGACGACTGCTTCTCTAATCTCACGGAGTTCATGGCGGGATTCACAAAACACTTGCTCTTGAAAGAAGGCTCAGTACCCACTTTATTTGGATCAGCTGGTTCCACTGAATCACAACCTGTAAGTAAGATTAATAATTAATGTTTATATTTTCTATTGAGCGTTGAAAATATGCAACTATGGCAATGGTCGTATCGTTTTTACGACACGCGCTGTACGCGGTAGACCAATCACAACAGACTGGGCCATCTGACCAATCAGAGCAGAGTACGCTCAGGGAAAGGAGGGATTTAGAGAGACTGAATCTTTGAACTGCTTTGAACTAATGAGAATCTTTGGAAAATAAGGTGATATTAAATGCATATTTTGACCTTGCATGCTTGTAAACCTATTGTAAAATACTTCCAAAACAATATTAGGAACCTTAAAAATGCATAATAGGGGCACTTTAACAAAACAAAAACAAACAAAAAGCTTTATGGGTTTGGAACAACACAACAGTTATAAATTATGACAAATTTAATTTCAGAGCGAACTGTCTCTTAAAATCCTTCAAGCACCTGGAACCATCTTTCATGGAATAAAATTTAAAAAGTAAAAAAAACGCTAAAAATCTTACACGTTATCCTATTTTACTAAAAATGTGTCAGATTATGTAAGGAAAATACATTGTGAACGAGGTTTAATGTTGTTTTATTTGCATATTTCATGTTGCATCCTTCTTGTATACAAACATCTGAAAATATCTTTAAAAGAACAGGATCAAAAACATGCTAAACCCATAAAACACATTGTATAGAAGCCTGTGTGCTCTCTGGGAATGCACTGGATTTGTATTTCTAAAGAGGGAGTGGCCTTACCCTGGCTGACTTTTGGAGTTGCCGGGGAGAACGGGGGACGAATGGGGGCGTGTAGG